AGATAGATAGATAGATAGATAGATAGATAGATAGATAGATAGATAGAGATATAGATATGTAACTTTATTGTGATAAGATTCATATACCACATAATTTATCCACTTAGAGTATTTATATAATTCAGTAGCTTGTCTTCCACTCTGGTACTTTTAATGTGTTTTCAGGACCGTGAAACCATCACCTCAGTTAATTTTAGAGATGAAAACTCTAGAAGAAAAATGCATATTTTTTTAAAAAAAGCTTCATAGCCTTTCTCCCATAACCCTCTGCAACCACTAATCTGTTTTCTGTCCCCATGGGTGCATTATTCTAGTCATTTCATAGAAGTAGGATAATGTAGTAGTAGTATTTTGTGATTATCTTTTCTAGCTTAGCATAGTCTTCAAGATCTACCCATCCTCTAGCATGCATTAGTACTTAATTTTGACTGAGTGGCATTCATATAGCAGCTCATCTGTTCATAGGCATGCAACAGTTCTTATTTTTGGCTACTGTAAAAAATGTTGGTATAAGCATTTGTGTGCAGTTGCCAAGTAGATGTGTGTTTTCATGTCTTTCCAGTATATCTAGGAATAGAGCTGTTATATTTATTATATGGTAATTCAATGTTTCTGTTTCTGAAGAAATGCTAAGCGTTTGTTCAGAATAGCTACATCGTTTTACATTTCTACTAACACTGTTTAAGGGTTCTGATATTACAATATCCTTTTCACTTATCATCTGCCTTTTTAAAATTACTGCCATCTGATGAATATGAAGTGATAGATACGTCACTGTAGCTTTGATTTGTATTTTCTTGTGTCTTATGTAAAAAACAGTATTACAAATACTACATCAAAGGAAGTTAACTCAGGGCAGCCTTGATAACTTATATTACTGCAGCATCTAATTTAGGAAGAAAGGAGTGTAAGCTATGCTGAGATGCATTAAAATAGCATCCTTTATACATTGATATTTTGGAGGTTCTTTAGAATAAAGTGAAATTGTGGCAATTCTTCTGCTTCAGCCTCCTGGGTATTTGGATTTCAGTTATCACATTGTCTAGCCTTGGACCAGTTATTTCTAAAGACTTACTCAGTGAGAGAATCTATGTAAACAATAAATTCAGAAGAGAGAAAATCTTGGCAGAAAATAACTTAGGGCATCTTAGTTGTTAGTAGAGTTTGGAATGAGAAAACACTTGTTTAAGATCAGAGGCAGCCTGGAGAAAGGGAGGTAGGTGCTGATGTGCAAGCCTGGTGACTTGAACTCATCCCCAGAGCTCGTCTAAATGTGGAAGGAATGATGCCACAAAGTTGTTTTCTGACCCCTGCACATGACCCATGGATACGTTGCAGGATATACAGCAGATTCAGTGTTTTTCAGGGTTGATAGATACTTTGCCATTTTGCTTAAGTATATAATACAAAATAGCAAAAGTATGTTTAGGACCAGTCCAGAAGTTACTGGAAATTCTATCCTAATCATAAGCCAAAAAAGTCGGTTAATGATTTTTTTTTTAATGAAACTCAAGTCAGCAGCCTATACAACATTTTAAAAAGTAAAACATTGTGATGATACAACACAGTCCAAATGTAAAACTAGATATAGCTCAGTAAGATGCTCAGTCTACAAGTATGTGGACCTGAGTTCTGGCCTCAGAATCCACATCAAAGAGCCTGGTGAGGTAGTGAACATTTGTACTCTCAGTACTGAGGAGGCAAAGACTCAAGAGGATCCCTTGGGCTTGCTGGTCAGCCAGCCTAATCTAACCAGAGGGGTCCAGGCCAACTCAAGCCTACCAAAAACAAAACAAAAAAACCCAGGGTGGATAAACACATGAGGGACACCTGAAATTGACCTCTGGTCTCTACGTACCTGTGCACACATACAAATATGAACACATGTCACACAAAAAATCCTTTTTTGATGTTTACATACTGAGGACTAGGGATAGGGAAATATTAAGCCTGTTTTCTCTTCTACAAGTAAGCCATTGTGTAAGAGCAAGGAACTGCACGTGTTGTAAAAACACTGGGTTCCTAACATTCATTTATATTGAATAACAGTAAAGGCATTTTCTGCAGTGTCTCTTGGCATTTGTGATGTGATTGGATGTCCAGTGCAAGTGTGTGGTGGAGCATAGTGAGCACTCACACACCCTGGAATCTTTTGAATTACTCTTTGGCCATTGTGTACTTGGAGCAGATGCAGAGATCCATGGCCAAACACTAGGTGGAGCCAGGGGAACCCCACAGAAGAGGGGGAGGAAGGATTGGGAGAGCCAGAGGAGTAGAGGACACCAGAAGAACGTGGCCCACAGAGTCAACTAAGCAGGACTCATAGGGGCCCACAGAGACTGAAGCAACAGTCAGGGAGCCTGTATTGGTTTGAGCTAGGACTAGGTTCCCTGCATAAACCTTATGGTTGTATAGCTTAGTGTTCTTGAGGGACTCCTTCTGGGTTGCCTTCTCCAGCTCTGATAGGAGGTTTTGTGTGGTCTTATTGTAACTTGTTAGTAAGTCTTGCTTGGTGGATATCTCTAGGAGGCCTGCTGTTTTGTTTGTTTGTTTGTTTGTGTGTTTTATGGAAATAGAGGAGGAGTGGATCTGGAAGAGAGGAGAGGTGGGGGAGGGGCTGAGAGGAGTAAAATGAGGGGAAACTGCAGTTGGGGTGTAATGTATGAGAAAAGAATAAAAGAAAAAGAAGTAACTGTACTAACAAAAAAAGAAGAAGCTGGGCTGTAAGCCAAAGTTCTTGGAACCATGTGACACAATTAAGACTATAAAATTCTTCATTTTTAAAGTCTAAGTTTTCATTAAAAAAATCCTTTTTATTTCTTCATTTACTATAATGAATTGTAATGAATACAGTGATATTTATTTTCTTTATAGGAGATAAAAACAGCTCATAAGTTGGCAAAGAGATGTTATACGAATCCACCACAATGGGCCAAGTATCTATTCAGCCATTGTTACAGTTTGTGGTTTATTTGTCTCCCAGCCTATGTTAGAGTTTCTCACCCTAAGGTCCGAGCACTCCAGCAGGCACATGATGTGCTTGTTAAGATGAGGAAGACAGATGTGGATCCACTAGATGAGGCAAGTACAAGACACAGATATTTTTTGCAGCTGTTGTTGTTGTTGTTGCTGCTGCTGCTGCTGCTGCTGCTGCTGCTGCAGTGCAGTGGATGAATCCAGGGCCTTGCTTGTGTTTGGCAGGTGAGCTGTATCCCTAGCTCATGCTGATGCATATTGTTTTGTAATTTTAAGTGTTTGGGGCTTAGTGACTCATGATTGTAACCCTAGCACTTTTTGAGGCTGAGACATATTGCCCCAAGTTTTAGGCTAGCACACTCTGACCCTACAGAGCAACAGCCTGTCTTAAACAGAATAAAAACAAAATAAAGTAAAAAACAAAAAGGAAAGTAGGCAAGTTAATTAAGCTCTTAGCTAAGTATACTGATTGGGGTGAACGGTATTTTGACCATGTTTGATTTTAGAAATGAGTTCTTTTTCACATTACGGAGAACAGTATCTTACATTATGGAAAACAATGATTTTCCTTATATAGATTTACTTTCTTAAACAGATGAGACGTGCATGAAATAATACTGTTGATTATTTCTGTTAGGTTGAATAGGGTTTATTGTTGTATTTTATTTATTTATTTTTTAGAGTATTTTGTAACTCATTCTAGTCTGGAAGTCACTATGTATAGCCTTGAATTCCTGATCCTCCTGCCTCTGCCTCCTCCTAACCACCCTGGTTAAGTAGAGTCTATTTTAAATCTTCGTAAGTCTCAACTAAACTAATACGCTAAGGACTAATGCTTTGTTGTTGTTCTTGTTAGGTGTGCTATCGAGTAGTAATGCAGCTTTGTGGACTTTGGGTTCATCCTGTTTTAGCAGTGAGAGTCTTATTCGAAATGAAAACTGCTAGAATAAAACCAAATGCTATTACATACGGCTATTATAATAAGGTGAGTTGGGTTCCTGCTAGGCAGGGCAGCATGTTTGTTAAAAATTTTATTATTTGTTAAACTTAAGTTAAAAGGAAGTTGTTCTATCTTCATTGACAGAATTGTATAGATTATACACAACATGTTTTGAAACGTGTTTATATTTTGGAGTGGCTTTGTCAAGCTAATCAACATATTCATTTACTAATTTTTGTGGTGAGAACACAAAATCTTACCAATTTTAAAAATAAATATGTTGTTATTAACTATAGTTGCCATGTTGAACAATAGATCTCTTAAATTTATTCCTCCTGTCTAACTGTAGACCAACAGCTCTTTACTGCTCCCTACTGCCTGCCCCTATTCCCTATGTGAATACTACTTCTAGTTCATTCACCTCTTGAATGCTATGTGAAAGGCAAGATCATGTGATCTACCTGTTCTACCTACCATAATATCTTCGAGGTTCCCTGGATTATTCTGGCAAGGTTTTTTTTTGTTTTGTTTTGTTTTTAAGCTAGTATTTCATTGTGTATATATGCTACATTCTCTGTATCCATTCATGGATATTTAGGTTGGTCCTCTTTCTCAACTCTTGTGAATAATGCTGTAGTGAACTTGGGAGTACAGATGCCTGGGTGAAATAGTGATTTCACAGGCTGTGGATAGGTATTCAGTAGCTTTTAGCTTTTAAGGACGTTTCATATTGTTTTCCATATGAGTTTACTAATTTATACTCCCATCAGTAGTGCAAAGTCCTCTTTTCTCCACATATTTGTCATATTTTTTTAACTTAAAATTTTTATTTTAAAATTTGTGTGATGGTCAGAAGACGATTTTCAGTTCTTTTCTTTAGCTTAGGGTTCTGGGGTATCAGGCACGTACAGAGAGGTTTTTTTACTCACTGAAGTAGTTCCTAGCCCTAAATAACTTTTATTTTTTAAACCTTCAGGTAGTTTTGGAGAGCCCATGGCCCAGCAGTACTCGCAGTGGCATTTTCTTGTGGACGAAAGTACGGAATGTTGTACATGGTTTGGCCCAGTTTAGGCAACCACTTAAAAAGACTGGGCAAAAATCACAGGTCTTTTCAATATCAGGTAATATATGTGATTGGAAAGATGTTTTAAGCCATAGGTTTATAGACATAAAGTTTTAATTATATGAAATAAACAAATTAGTTCTGTTTGATATTGTTATTTAAAAGTAAAGATAGATTACCTTATGTTTTTTTTTTTTCACAGAAATCTACAAATTGTTATGTAATTATAAATTAACTATGGGCCATTCATGTTTAGTTTCAGAAATATCATACATGAATTATTGAACTACATTGTCCTTATCTTTAGTTCCTCAGAATGCTGCATGTGGAAGTGATGGGGACACAGTGAGCCATGGTAGTGTGGATAGTTCTAACGATGCTAACAGTGGGGAGCACACAGCCTTCGTCAAAGACTTAATCAGCCTTGATTCCATTGATAATCACTCTAGCACAGGTACTAAAATATGTACTTTACTAACCTTTTCAGTTACCACCACTTAAATGTTTCTTTTTCAAAAAAAATTACATTTCCTGAATTTTCATAAAGGGAGTACTCTGAAAGTAGTGTACATCACTGAGAGGATTGTGCTTCTGCACTTCTCTTTACTTCCTGTAGTGTGAAATTAACTTTGGGGTGCAGTGCACAGTGTGCTAGCATGATATGTCTTTATATTTGTTCATCTTCAATTTATGAACATGTCTGAGACAGTTGTTAGGTCATGACCTAATGAACATGAACATTACTGACACAATTTATAAATCCTTTTTTCATTAAGTTGAAAATTTAACTTAGAACTTTCAAATCATGAATATCTGTAAAGGAAAGAAAATAAGTCATTTTGAAAAAGAATGTTTCCGTTTAAGATATCTGATTGTAAAAGCTGCTTATATGTATGTAGCCACAGACACAACCTGTGTCTTAAAGTCAGAGCCCACTGGCATTGAAAGCCCACTGGCAGGTGTATGTACCTCACATCCGCCCTGTGTGTTGTCTGGTGGCTGGTACCCAAGCTTCCCTTAAAGAGCTCACAGTCTAGTTCCTGTGCTTCCTCTGATGAACTTGTCTCAATGACTGAAGTTTCCTTTTCTCTGCTCTTTGTTGCTCTGCTTTTTACTCTGTGCTGTTTCTTGGTGCTGCATTTGTCCTGGGCTGTCAAGGTGTGGGGCAAACAGACTTTTGTGAACTGAAGCTATGGATACACGTGTGCTTTAATTCTGCCTTTGAATGTTAACCACTTCAGGTAATTTCCCATTTATTAGGTTAAAATTTGCTGACATTCAAGGGTGGGGGCAAGATACATGGTTGTATTTTAAGTATTGTAGTTTTAAGGAACAGTTTTCAGTTTCTTGGCTTTTTTTCTTTAGATAAGAATAATTGTACATAGGTTCTCAAAGATTTTCATGTGACAATTTATGACCAGTTTTCAAACATTTATTATTTTATTTAGAAATAAAATATGTTTTCTGCAATTACAATGTTAAGATTTGTTTGTAGTATCATTGCATGAAATGGTATCATGGGTATGAAAGAATCTTAATTGTTGAGGTACTCACTGCTTTCCAGAAGTCTGCTTATCTTTTGTGCCTAAAACTGCCTTGCTACAATTACAGGAGTGTATATAAATCACTAAGACAGCGTGAGCCTGTAGTTTGCCATCTTGTAGTAATTAGCCTTTTAAACCAACTATTTGTTACTTAAGAAGAAACTCTTGTGGGACTTTTATTTTTAAGATTTTATTTATGTGTATGGTTCTTTTGCTTATATGTTATGTGTGTACATCATGTGCATGTATGTTGAGGCGGTCAGAAGAGGGTGTTTATCTCTCCTGGGACTGGAAGTACACTGAGCTACCATGTGGATGCTGGGTCCTCCGCAAGAGCAGGAAGTGCTCCTAACCAACTGCTGACTCTCTCTCCTGACTCAGGACTTCTGTTTTAAACTACTTTGTTTCCTCAATTGATTTTTCTTGCTACGGTTTTTTTATATTAAAATTCTGTTTTGGTATTTTATTGTATTGTTGTATTTTATTATTTATACAAAATAATGTTTCCTATTTTCTTTCTTTTTTTTTTTTTAGTTTTTCGAGACAGGGTCTTTCTGTAACTCAGAAATCCGCCTGCCTCTGCCTCCGAAGTGCTGGGATTAAAGGCGTGTGCCACCACCGCCCAGCCGTTTCTTATTTTCATATGAATATAATGAATATATAAAGTCATCTAAAAATTAGCTTTATTTTTAAAGGTTAAGTAATTTTTATATAAATTTAGTTTATGAATGATACTGATAACAAAAGATACATCCTCATCTTTCTTCCTGAGTCTTCAAGTTTTGAAACTTATAAATGTAATTTACTATTTTACTATTCTAATAAGTGGTGTAACAATTTCAGTAGTTAGGATGGCACTTTTGAGAACTTTTTATAGGCTTTCAGCTTTGTTGTTTTAACTTTATTTTATGTATATGGGGTTTTCTGCATATTTGTCTGCATATCACATGTATGCCTGGTGCCCTCAGAGGCCTCAGATGGCATCAAATCCCCTGAGACTGGTTGGTTGTGAGAGGTCGTGTGGGTACTGGGAACTAAACCTCAGTCCTCTGGAAGAACAGCTAGTGCTCTTCCCTGCCAAGCTGACTCAGCAGCTCCCCTGAATTTCTGATGGTTAAACAGTAGATACTAAATCCCAGTGATTTTGTGTCCTTAGAGTGTTTAGTGGAGCTGTAGGACACTTGGGGACTTTGGCCTAGTGCTGATTGTGCTCATTTTCTTTATCTTGTGAAACCTTTCCACTTGGTGCCTAATACAGAGATCCTTCTCAGGGACTCCCGGATTAATCACCTTATCTCTTTCCTAGTCTGTGTTCAATTCATGGCACCGTATTTTAACATCTGACTTTCCGAGCAAGCCAACCAAAAGAACGAAACCAAAAAACTTTGGTCTGGGCGGGATGTGGGGGTAAGGTTAGAGTTGAAGGTATGGGGATGAGCAGTGTTCCATGACACTAGTGTGGAGGTCAGAAGACAATTGTGTGAGTCGGTACTGTCCTTCTACCAAGTGACTCCTAGGGTTGTCATCTCTGAAGTTAGTGATTCTAAATAGTAGTGATTAAGAAATCTAATAACTCAGTCCTCCTTAGTCACCTTTAACCTTTAAGATACATAGTTCTTTAGGATGTATTCATTTCTTTACTTATTTGTTGAGAGCACTATGTAGCTCTGGCTGGTTTGGAACTGAAGGAGATCTCTGTCTCTGCCTCTTGAGTGCTGGGATTAAAGGCTCATCAGCATTTCTTTGTTATGACTTTAGCCTTGTTGAGAGATTCAACTTGTTTATAGAATGTTCTTTAATTTGTGTATGTGTGTTTCCTTGCAGTTAGCTTAGGTTCTGTGTACCACATATGTGATGTATCCTCCTCAGATTGTTATAGACCTATCTGTGCTTGTAAGGGGTGTTAATTTTAGCACTGGATATCAGTGTGGTCTGGTTTCTCTGTATGTAAATCTTTTTTCTAGATCATAAGCTATCTTTAGGGGGCCTGGGGAACCTATAAGACTGTGTAGTGATACCCCGTTTTTCATCACACTTTTAAGAATTAGCATCCATTGATGAAGTTTGCCTGAACAGATCTTCCCTGTAGTGGGCACACAGTGGTGATTTCACTGCTGTATTTAGCAATGGCATTCTAATATAGCCAGGAAGTTCTTTTTTCTTCTCTGATAAAGTGTGAGTTTATGGGTTGCTGTATTAGTCAGTAGATTATAATGTATTAGTCTTTACCCATTCTCAGATTACCTTAGTGTGGACCTAGTCGATGCTCCTTTAAACTTGGTTATTAATACCTTTTAGATGTGTGGCTATGGTTCTTTTCTGGGAACAAACCCCAGTGACCTTACTTTTGTGCATTTCCTCCCTGAGCTTAGGAACAAGTTTTTTTGTTTTTGTTTTTCTTTTCTCCCAACAACCTCAGGGTTCATTTAATGAAGACTAGATTTTAGAAGTCCAAGTCTGGGTCTTGGCATGCCCACTGCTACACCAAGGTATTGACGGCCCTGCTTTTAGATTTTTAACAAACAAGATGAGAAACTAATTATCTGTAGTGTTGTAGAAATACCTCTAGTTCCGAATCAACTCCACAGAATTCTTTTTTTTTTTTAATCTTTCTTCAATCTTTTTTTTTTTTTCTGATTGGGAGCGTGGTAGAATGCTTGCCTAACGCACATGCTCTTACTTAGTTCCCAATATCATGCACACAAAACCTCTTATGTTTTCCTGTAGAAAAATCTTTGTCTCCTGATACCATTACAGGTAGTGTTTTTCTCAGTGTGAATAAAGTGGGCAGGGGGCGGGGACTGGATGTGATAAAGATACATCGTTTGCAAGTATGAATTTGCCAAAGAATAAATTTTAAAATGTCTAATATTTTTCAAATTCACTCCACCCCACCCCCACCTACCCATAGGAAACAGACCTACACACCTTTTATAGATTTGACATTCACTTCCATGCATAGAGTATGGATGGACTCCAAGTAATTTTCAAAGCTTAAACTCAGAGTCGGGTATGGTAACACACACATAGACCCCGTGTTTGGGAGGTTGGGGCAGGAGGATCAGGAGTTCAAGCAAGGCTAGCTCCAGATTGAATTTAAGGCTAACCTGGACTTCATAAGACATTGTTGCAAAAGAAACAGAGTTCCTACAAGGGATGGCATGATGGCTCACTGAGTGAAGAGATACTTGCTGCTAAGTCTTATGACCTGAGTTCAATCTTTGGGACCATGTGGTAGAAAAAAATCAATTTCCCAATCCTTGTTCTCTGATCTCCACCTATGTATGTGAAAGAAATGTAATTTTAAAATGTTTGGTTCAAAAGTTACATAGATGACCCCTTACCCTTCTTTGCCCTTACAGGCTTATGTTGTTTCATGTATAGTGTTTGTTGGCCATACCTATTTCTACTTGCATCAGTTTTAGCGAATATTCTAATTTTGTTGACTTAATTTTTTGAGTATGTAGAAATGTATTAAAAATAAAACAGCACAGTAAACCATACTTTAGGAAGTTTCCTCCTTTTTTCAAATCTCTTTCTCTACCCTTTGTAGGTAAACTGTTCTTATTATTTTCTAACAATAAAAATCTTGTTGTTGTCCCTACATTTCTTTTGTAAAAGTAGCAGGTACGTGGTTCAGTCCCTTTTTGTTTTTGTTTGTTTGTTTGTTTGTTTTTGGTTTTTTGAGACAGGGTTTCTCTATGTAGCCCTGGCTGTCTTGGAACTCACTCTGTAGACCAGGCTAGCCTCGAACTCTCGAACTCAGAAATCCGCCTGCCTCTGCCTCTCAAGTGCTGGGATTAAAGGTGTGAGCCACCTCTGCCCGGCTTCCCTTTTTGTTCTTACCAAAAATAAAAAAACAAAGACGGCAATATGCTATAGACTCTCTTCATAAGAGACTCAAAAATGCTTTGCCCAAATTACCTTTAACTTTTAGGTAAGGAGATTAAGGTTTGGTGCTTTCAAATGTAGAACAGCCTTCAGTCTGTTCTACTCTCCTCATTTTTGCTTATCATTGTTTTTGGAATGTGTCTTGTGAGAGTTAATTTTTTCTTTTTTATTGTATGGTTTTGATTGTATAGATCTGTGTTTTCTGTTTGTAACTGTATTGTAAACACATGAAAGTATTTATGAGCATGCATCTTTTAAACAGGCGGTCAGTCAGACCAGGGCTATGGGTCCAAGGATGAGCTCGTAAAGGAGGATGCAGACATTCACGCACCTGAAGAGCACATGCCACAAGACCTGATGACCACAGAACTGCACATTGAAGGTGAGTGCTGATGTTTGTGAGCTATGTGTACAAGAATGTTCAGATTGTTTTATTTTATGTAGTGATTACAGCAATAATTCTCAGGAATATAAGGCTGGTTTCATGTATTGACTGTAATAATCTTTATGGTTGAAATTTTAGCGACATTAGAAAGTTCATAGATCATCCTTTATTTTGTTTTTTTTTGTTTTTTTTTTTTGTTTTTGTTTTTTTTTTGTTTTTTTGGTTTTTCAAGACAGGGTTTTCTGTATAGCTGGAACTCACTTTGTAGACCAGTCTGGCCTCGAACTCAGAAATCCGCCTGCCTCCGCCTCCCAATTGCTGGGATTAAAGGCGTGCGCCAACACTGCCTGGCCATCCTTTATTTTGAAATAAACAAAAAGAGTGCCATCCATTGGCAAAGTTACATGGATAATTTTTTGATAAAACTAGGACTAAACTTTGTCTTATTTTAATCTTGAACTCCAGTTCCTCCTTACTCTCTCTTTAAGAGTCCTGGGACAACAGGCATATGCCAGTCATCAAGCCTACCAAGAAGACCAAACTTGGGTCTGTCAAATTGATACTTATTCTTCTCACCTCACAACTTTGAACCTGAGGATTGTTCCCAGGGTCATAGAAGACAAACAATTTACATCTCCAGGCCCTGAGGTTCCTTTAATTTTTAAAAGGGCTTTTTATTAGAACTTTTTTTTTGGGTGTTTCTAAGTACATAGTTTGCATGGTAGGTTAAAAATAAATAAAAATGGTTTTCCTGGGTTTTTTTTGTTTTTGTTTTTTTATTTTTTTTATTTTTATTTTTTTTACAAAACTCATTGAGGTAGAGAGCATCTGTTGTAATCCTCTTATGGATCTGTAAGGAGTATTTTGGTTTATGGCAATATATTTTTCCTGTTCTCTTACTCAAATGTTTCTTTTCCTTGATTATAATACCTTATGCTCTAGAGTTATAAATAAGCTGTTTGACAATGGGAGAAATAGAAGTCAAGGCCAAAAGTTTAATTGACTCACTGAGAAATGCTCGGTCCAGATTGTTGAATGCTAGAATAAAACACTGTTAATTGGGGCTGGAAAGATAGCTCAGAAGTCGAGAGCACTGACTGCTCTTCCAGAGGTCCTGAGTTCAATTCCCAACAACCACTGGTGGCTCACAACCATCTGTAACAAGATCCTGTGCCTTCTTCTGGCTTGTAGGCATACGTGCAGACAGAACTCTGTATACATAATAAATAAATCTAAGAAAAAAGCCCAATTAGTCAGTATTCTTGGTATTTATGGCATACGGTAAACCAGCTACAGTAAGTCAGTGAGTAATCATACATACATCTCTACCTGATGAAAAACTATATCCATATGTAAAAATCTCTGCTTTCTGATCATTATTGTTAAAAGTTAGAATGATAGCATCCAAATATTTTTTTTTCAGAGGAGTGTGATATATCTGCCATTGTCTCAAAACACTTGCAACTTACTCCTGAACCTCAGAGTCCAACTGAGCCTCCTACATGGGGCAGCAGTATTGTGAAAGTTCCCTCTGGCTTATTTGACACCAACAATAGGACAAGTAGTACTGGTAAGTAGAACATGACCTCTGCCTCCTTTGGGGACACTCTGACCTGTAGTCAAGCTGACCTTGACCTCGGCGTTTTTTCCACCATGCTCAGTTAGAGTATCTTTAATGATATTATTTCTCTTGACTTATTACAATGAGCATGCTAGCAAGCCATGATTTTGTCTGAATTCTATAAGTAGGCTAAAGTAAAGTTAAAGTTTGTAACTTAAAGGAACAGTTCAAGAGCCTTGCATAGTGGCACATACAAAAAAAAAGTAATATGGAATAATTAAAAGCAGATGTGAGGAAATGTATAAGTTATATGAAAATACCTTATCATTTTATGTAAGGGAATTGAGTGTTGGTGTGTTTTGGGAGTCACCTGATAAAACTTACGGAAGGATGGGTATGAGGTGTGTTTGTTAACTTGGTGTGCTTTTCTTGCTCTAGTATCTTATCTATTTGGTCATTCCTTTTCATGAGAGATAACAGGGTCTCCTGTGCTTGTCAAGAACAGAGGCAGTGATGATAAGACCCCAGCACTGAGGAGGCAGAGACAGGTAGATCTCTGAATTTGAGGCCAGCGTGGTCTACATAGTACAGCCAGATCTATACAGATGTCATTTGAGATGTCTCAAATGAATGAGTGAATGAATGAATGAATGAATGAATGAACAAATAAACAAGTGGGATTGAGGCTAAGACAGAGTCTTCGTGTAGAACCTAGGCTGGTCTTGAACTTGCAGTGATCCTTTAGCTTTCACCCTTGCCCAGTGATTACAGACATGCAGCGCTACGACTTGAGAGAATGTATCTTGTCTTAGAAGATTTATTCAATAAAGAAGGAAGAGGCAGTAATGGGGCTTTTGGTATTGTGTCAGTCAGTTTTATTTTAAATTGAAAATAAGCTGTGCAGATAAGCTGGGACTACAATGAGAGCCTAAATGATCACAAAGACCTGTTTCTTACATATTGAGAAAGGTGTCAAAGCAGGCATAACTATAGAGTGGAAATAGATTACCTGCAGTCCCCAAAAGCCTTTTTAAAAGTTGTCTCTCAGAGGGTCTGGGAGATGGCTCAGTGGATAAAGGCCCTAACTGTTAAGTGTGACAACCTGAGTTCAATCCCTGAGACCCACAAGGTGGAAGAGAAGACCTGATTCCTACAAGTTTTCCTTTGATGAGTGTGTCCCTGACCACACACAGCAAAAATAAATGCTTAAAATGTTTTGTTTTGTTTTAAAAAAAAAACATTTTTTTGAATCTTACAAAGAACAAATTGAATATAAATTATTTTTAAAAGAAAAAGTTTACAAACATATAAAACACACAGTCAATAATTAGACCAGTTTGAAAGATTAAAAGTATATTGTATGAAAAGCAACTTTTTCATTTAAATTTTCTAGATCATTATACTCTTAAAAAACAAATAAGCAAACAAAACAGAAACAAAAAAACAAACTAAAGCTAACATAGTGGCACACATCCTTTAATCTCAGCACTTGGCAGGCAGATCTCTGATTTTAGGGTCAGCCTAGTCTACATAATATGTTCCAGGATAGACAGAGTTCCGGGTAAGACCCTGTCTGGAAACATCATCCCATCACCAATTCCCCCCCCACACCCCCTCCCCAAAATAAGAACATCAACCAGTTGTGGTAGTGCACACTTTTAAAACCAGCACCTAGGAGACAGAGATAGGTGGATATCTGTGAGTTCAAGACAAGGCAAGACTACATAATGAGACCCTCTCCTCCCACACACCCCCAAGAAAATGCAGGTAAAGGTGCTTGCTGCTATGACTTCAACTCCAGTTCAGCTTTCTGGATCCATGTTGTGGAAAGAGAGAGCCAGCTCCTGCAGGCTGTCTTCTAATACCACATGTGCACTGTGGCTGGCACATTTAAATGCATATATGAGCTACCGTGCACTCCAATAAATAAAGTAGTAAGAAAAACAAATTCAGATGTGAATGGATGATATTTTAGGTGAGCAGCTGTGAGTGAAGAGACTACAGATTGCGGCTTATATATGACGGCAGAAATGTACAAGACTGGAATTGCCACACGATGAGTTTGACTGAGGGTCCTCTTAGATTGCAGATTACCTGCTTCTCTTTGTGTCCTTGGGTTGTAAAGACCTGGATGTGGTAGAACATGTTTGTAATCCTAAAACTTGGGAGACAGGTAGGATGAGAGCTAAAGCACAGGTCTCTGGATTTTCCTTTGTAAGGACCTTAATCTATTCATAAGAGTACTACTGTTATGCCCTAATTGTCTCCTGTATTCAGATTTTAGATTTAAGTCTATATTTTTCCAGGTTTTAGGTATGAGTTTGTTTGTTTGTTTGTTTGTTTTTTGGTTTGTTTGTTTGTTTGAGATAGTTGCACTGTGTAGCTAGCTAGCTTAGGATTCCTTATATAGCTCAGACTAACCTTGAACTCAAGATCCTCCTGCTTTGCTTCCGTGGTGTTAAATTTTTAAACTTTATTTCATTCATTATTATTGAGTGGGTTGAATGTGCCGTAGTGCATGCATGGAGGTTAAAGGACAACTTTGTGGGGTTGATTCTCTCCTTCACCTTTGTATAGGATTTGAGGATTGCACTTAGGTTGTCAGACTTGTGTGGCAAGTGCTTCCACCTGCTAAGCCATCTCAACAGCCCTCTGGGTATTAGAGATAGAGCCTTGAACTTGCTGTGTATCACAGAAGATATACTAGAATTCCTGATCCTCCTGCCTCAGCCACTTATGTGCTGGTTGCTAAATTTAAAGTCTAAAATTACAGACATACAACCATGTTAGACTTAAATGCTAAATTGTAGTAACATGGAACTGGAGAGATGCTCTGCCATTTAGAGCACTGACTTTAGTTGCAGGGCATCTCTTTGGACATCCTGAGGTACCAGGCACACATGTCGTACGTACATACATACATATCATGCATATAAAACACCCATATGCATAGAATAAGTTTGTTTATATGTGTGTGTACATATATGTGTATATACATATAAATATACACTTATGTGTATATATGCAAATATATACATACATATACATGTAGTTCATTTAAATAGAGGAATGGAAACAAATTGTATGGTAACAAAGAGTTAAAAAAAAAACTTGCTTTCTGGAGATATGGCTCAGTGGCTAAGAGCATTTGCTGTTCTTGGCAGAGAGAATCTGGTTTCAGTTTCTAGCGCCTACATGGTGTGGCTTAAGACTGTAATTCCTCAGCCGGGCGGTGGTGGCTCACGCCTTTAATCCCAGCACTTGGGAGGCAGAGACAGGCGGATTTCTGAGTTCAAGGCCAGCCTGGTCTACAGAGTGAGTTCCAGGACAGCCAGAACTACACAGAGAAACCCTGTCTCGAAAAACCAAAAAAAAGAAAAAAAAAGACTGTAATTCCTCAACCATCCAGAACTTCAGTTCCAGGAGATCCAAGACCGTCTTCTGGCCTTCATGGGTAGTGCATACAAGTTTTGCACTTAAATAGACATAGGCAGAATATTAATTCATACTCATAAAATGAACCTAACAAAGTTTTTGATTAAAACAAAAAAAAGAAAGAAAGACCCAGCAGGGCTGTGGTGGTGCATGAGTTTAACTCTAGTACTCAGGAAGCAGAGGAAGATGGATCTCTGTGAGTTCTAGGCCAGCCTGGTCTATAGAATTAGTTCTAAGACAGCCAGAGCCACACAGTGAAACCCTGTCTCAAGAAACAAAAACAAACAAACAAAAAGACCACTTGTTTTCCTAAAGCAATTTTTGGGTCTTCAGACTTTGCGCATGTTTTTGTTTACCTGATCTAATGGTTCAGTCTGTTTTAGTTGCCATTGTTTTTATAGCACCTTATATAGTTAATAACTAGCATTCACATATTTGTTGAAAGATCAAATATAAAATTCTTTCGGGATTTCATCAGCCATCTAGGATTTTTCTGTTTTTTACCCTGAAGCAATTCTTTTACTTTGGTATAGTAATGCTTTGGCTGTAACAAATGTGTACTTTCTCCATAATTACCAACTTGTTTTGTATAGAGTATGTCTCCTCCCCACCCCTCTATGTGCGGAGTTATTAAACCCAAATCTTTTTTTCTATTTTTTATGCTGAGTAAGTGCTTTACCACTTAGCTATGTCCCAGCTCCCTGGCAAGTGTTTGAAGAATTGGATATATGAAAGGTCAAATTAAAAGAGAATTTTTCTTTTTGAGTCTGCTATTTAACTCAGAGTATTTTTCCTAAATTGACTCTTAAAATATAAGAAGCATAGTTATATGTTGACAAAGGTAAGCAGTGCAGGCATATTCAGCATAGACTTCATGCTGTGTTTTCATGTACATGATATGCACAGAGGAGGAGGGTAGATGTTACCTTTAAGAGGCAGGCTTAGATAGACTTGGGCTGTACTTTTTCTGCATACACTTTTATGTAGCTTCTAAATGAAAACCAGGCATGTTAATTGCTATAACCCTTGGGAGATGCTGCTTCTATACCCTCCAGATTCTCTGTAGTCTTGCTCTTGGCATAATCAGAATAATCACTTTGCTACTTTGAAAAATAGTGATGTTTCACTTTACTGTATTGCTGCCCTCTTTAGGTAGTACTTCAAATGTGCTATTTTCTACTCAAGCTCTAGTGGAGGACACAGTCTTCGGTGAGGTTACTAATTTCAAGAAGAATGGTGATAGAGGAGAAAAAAGACAGAAGCATTTCCCAGAGAGGAGCTGTAGCTTTAGTTCTGAAAGTCGAGCAGGGATGCTGCTTAAGAAGAGCAGTTTGGATCTGAATTCGAGTGAAATGGCCATCATGATGGGAGCAGATGCCAAGATCCTCACAGCAGCACTGACGTGTCCTAAGACTTCTCCACTTCATGTCTCAAGAACTCAGAGCTTTGAGAACGTTAACTGTCATCAAGCTGACAGTAGGACTCGTGTGACGGAAGGCATCTGGGATTCTGAGCACAGATCATCTCCTGTGCTAGAGATGCTGGAGGAAAGCCAGGAGTTCCTGGAACCTGTGGTTGGTGATAATGTGACAGAGATTGCAGTAGAGATGACATGTAACAGTCTACAAAGTAACAGTAACCAGTCCAGAGACACAAAAGCAGGATCCCAAGATACAGTGAATAAGAGGAGCAGTTCCTATGCTACTGGGAAAGCCATCGAGAGAGAAGATGTTGAAACTGGACTAGATCCTTTGTCTCTTTTAGCCACTGAATGTGTAGAAAAAACTTCTGATTCCGAAGATAAGTTATTTTCTCCAGTAATTTCACGTAATCTGGCTGATGAAATTGAAAGTTACATGAACCTAAAAAGTCCACTAGGTAGTAAATCTTCTAGTATGGAATTGCATGGAGAGGGGAACCAAGAGCCTGGCTCTCCTGCTGTGTTTGCTCACCCTTTAAAAAGGAGATCCAGTCTACCTTCAGACCATGGTCCACCAGCACAAGACAGTACTGAGATTGAGAAGAGCTCCCCTGCAGTGTCCAGGTCTAAAACTTTGACCGGGCGTTTCAAGCCACAAACTCCTTACCGCACTTACAAAGACCGGTCCACTTCCATATCAGCATTAGTGCGTTCTTCACCAAATAGCTCTCTGGGCTCTGTAGTAAATTCTCTATCGGGGCTAAAGTTGGACAATATACTCTCAGGGCCCAAGATAGATGTCCTAAAATCTGGTATGAAACAAGCAGCAACAGTAGCCAGTAAGATGTGGGTGGCTGTAGCATCTGCCTACAGCTACTCAGATGACGAGGTAAGAATATTGTATTGTGTAGTCTGTCTGATGTAGGAGTGCTTGTAGTGCTTTAATGTATATGTTTGTGTTCGTATAATCTAGAAGTTTCTGCTAAGGGTAGTTTCATATTTTAAAAACTTTATACATTTTCTGTTTTATAAAGTGACTTAAAATAAATGATATAAAAATACATTTTCAGAATTGACAGGCCTGGTGGCACTCACCTATAATCTCAGCACTTGGGAGGTAAAGGCATGAAGATCAGGAGCTCAAAGTCATCCTTCTTTATGTAGTAAGTTTGAGGCCAGTCTGGACTACATGAGATCCTGTCTTACAAAGGAAAAATAGGCTAGAGAGATGGCCCAGTGGTTAAGGGCACTGGCTGCTCTTCCAAAGGACCTGGGTTCAATTCCTGGTACCACGTGGCTGCTCACAACTATCTGTTACTCCAGTTCCAGAGGATCTTATACCATCTTCTGACATGTACTGTAAACAGATAGTACAGACATATATCCCATGCACATAAAATAAAAAAGTAAATTTAAATTTAAATGAACAAATAAAAATAACATTAGAATCACTTTATAATTCTATACATAAGTCTATAATTAAAACTTTTGAAAGCACTGATAGTGTTTAAATTATAACAACATCATTGTTATATATGCATAACATTTTACTTTCTCCTCTGGGGTTTTAGAGATGGGAAGAGAACTGCAGACCATGCAGACTCGAGGCTTATTCTCTTCCTTCCTCAGCCTCTTCAGCATTGGTTTTGCTTGTGTTTACCACCCCACTTTCCATGGGCACTTTCATTTTTACATAGCTTTTTGCCTGTGTTTGCTGCCTTACTCTACTTGAAATCTCCCTGCAGCTTAAAATATTGTGAGTAGACTAAATCATTAGATTTTTCTTTTTGTGAAAATACAAATAAAAAAACTACTTATAGAAATAAGGTTGTAATTTCTCCTTCATGTTCACAGAATTGTATGGTACATGAGTAATTTAAGATAATATGGTTCCAGCTGGGCGGTGGTGGCGCACACCTTTAATCCCAGCACTTGGGAGGCAGAGGCAAGCGGATTTCTGAGTTCAAGAGTTCGAGGCTAGCCTGGTCTACAGAGTGAGCTCCAGGACAGCCAGGGGTACAACAGAGGAAACCCTGTCTCGAAAAACTAAAAAAAAAAAAAGATAATTATGGTTCCAGGTTGCTAAAGCTGTCAGATGTAAAAGTCAGCCAAAATAAAAATGAAAAAGAAAGTAAAGAAGCTGGAAAATAACTGGATAAGTAAGGCTTATTGAAGGAAACCATCTAGGAAAAGTACTAATTGAATAAAAAGTATAGGATTTTGACAACAAACTGACTTTTGTCTGTGTAGTACTAAGGCCTTTGCACATGCCTGGTTAGCCTTAAACCATATCCTGCATTCTTACTTAGCCTTTGTATTTAAAGAGCTTTACAAGATAAATCCATATAACACAGAATAGCTTTAAAAGTGTTCATCTGAGGCCCATCCAGGTATGTCACTTCTTGAATGTCTTAGACTGTGGAAATTTCATCAGTCAGTGAGATAACTTGACAGCTTTGAAAAGACACAGGAGTTATTTGCTTTAAGATACAAAGTTTCAATGTGAAAGGAGTAAAGGGAAACCATTTCTGTTGCAGAAGATACTACTTATGTATGTGGGGTTTTATTCTTTTTAATTATAGGAAGAAACTAATAAAGATTATAGTTTCCCAGCTGGCCTAGAAGATCATCATATACTGGGGGAGAATCTGTCCCCTAATACAAGTATCTCAGGGTTGGTTCCCAGTGAACTTACCCAGAGTAACACAAGTCTCGGCAGTAGTAGCAGCAGTGGAGATGTTGGAAAATTGCAGTGTCCAACAGGTATGGGGAATGTTTGTTCATTTGCCTTTTGTTTTTACTTGTTTTTCACTTATTTGTGATGCTGAAGATTGAATTAGGGCCTATGCATATGGGGCAAGAGTGCTACCACTTAGCCATGCCTTAACCCAGTTTTCATCATGCCTATAACCCTTCACCCCCACATATCTATTTTACTCTGATTTTATGATATCCAAGTATTATTGCCATGTATTGTCAACTGAACCAGTTAGGGAATCAGTCCCCCTCCCCTCTCTTTCCCCCATACCTCCTTTCTTCCTCTGAAACTGAATTTGTGGAATGGGGCCTTGGGAGGTTTTTTTTTTTTTTTTTTTTTTTTTTGCTTGATCTCTGGGTAAATCAGTGATTGAAATCGATTTTAAGAACCTCTGGGGAATACAGTTGTAGTTTCCAGACAGAGAGAATTATTACCTCTATTATTAAAAACTCTTGTCTACTTTGTTTTCTGATTCTTTAAGACAATGTCTTATCACATAGCACAAACTTGTCCCCTGCCCCAGTTCTCCTTTTCCCACTTCCGAGTACTGGTAGTACAGATACATACCTGCAGTCATCTAAGTTGTTATTGGGAAAAGTTGAGAAAATCATTTAATAAACATTTATATATCCTCTACTTACATTTAGTTAACTTTTATTAATTTTATCAGTTTATATCTATATGCATTCACATTTATATAGTAAATGTTTATTTATAAATACCAGATTTCATGGTACTTACCTCCTTAATATCTCAGCATGTATTTCCAAAGCATTGAGATCACTTTCCTACATTATGTATTCTATTTCTTACTTGTCTTTAGGTGAAGTTCCATTTTCAAGAAATATCAAAGGGCAGGACTTTGAAAAATCAGACCATGGTTCTTCTCAGAATACCAGTATGTCTAGCATCTATCAAAATTGTGCGATGGAGGTAAAGATTCTATAGTTCTTGTACCTGTGGTAAAGTGGCTGTAAACATATTCTTATCTCATAATAGTACTTAATGGGATTCAATGGGATCTATGTGGATAGTCAGAGGAGTGCTTAATATCTTTGAGGCAATAGGCTAGTAGTTTGTCTGTAGTGTAAAAGAGCTGTTAACTCTAGTTGAAACCAATAAAATTGTAATTGTTTCCCCAGTAGAATAGACCACTGAGATCCATTTCCACCATAGAGACTCAGTGTCTTCCTACTTTCCCTTTAGGTTTTGATGTCGAGTTGTTCACAGTGTAGAGCTTGTGGAGCTTTGGTTTATGATGAAGAAATCATGGCTGGATGGACAGCAGATGATTCAAATTTGAATACAACCTGCCCTTTCTGTAAAAGCAACTTCTTGCCTCTTCTCAATGTAGAATTTAAAGACCTGAGAGGCTCTGCCAGGTTAGTATTGTGCAAGCTCCCTCAGGAGGTAAGTGCCCTGAAGACAAGGCTCTTCAGGAAAGGTGCAGCACATAGCAGACTGTAAAGATGTCCTCTCTTTTCTCTCTCGACTACTTTTCTGCTCTGCTTAATGTATGAATACCAGAAGCAGATTCTTGAAATTAAACTCTGTTTATAGCTGATTCAAAACTAATGTTTTAGTGTTATTTCAGCACTCCCTGGGCTGGGGAGATATTTTGGTTTTGAAAGTGCTTCCTGAGCAAACATGAGAGCCTGAGTTTGGATCCTGAGCACCCAGGGAAAAGCTGAGCACCCATCTGAAATGCCAGCACTGGGGAAGTGAAGACAGCTAGGTCTCTGAAGCTCACTGGCTAGCTAGCCTAGCTAAATCATTGAGTTCCAGGTTCAGTGAGAGACACTGTGTTTAAAAACAAACAACAACAAAATACAGTGAAGCCAGGTCTGGCACCTTTACTCAGAAGGCAGAGGCAGGCAGATGTCTGTGAGTTCAAGGCCAGCCTGGGCTATTTAAGGAGAGTCTTGAAAATAAAAGCTAAACAGTGGAAAGTGGTTGAGGTAGACACAGGACATTGACCTATGACTTCCACATCCTACATACATACTCATGTATGCTCATGTATGCACATATATATGTGCATACAACCACACAAACATATGCACACAAAACTACCTTAGAGACCTAAATTAAATCTTCACATCTTGTTGCCACTGTCTGATACAGTGAGGTAAACACATCCTAGGTAAAAGAAATGCCACAAATTAGAGGCTGGGATATGGCTCGATAGTAGATCTCTTGGCTGGAATGTGTAAGGTCTTAGCCCTGGAAACAAAAGAAATGAGACTAATTGGTCTGTGATCAATTGAAAGATGGTAAAATAGGTAAGTAATTGAGAAGTGTGCTGACCTAATCAATGATATTACTATTTTATTTGCTTTGTTGTTTTGATTGTTGAGAATCGAACCCAGCACTTCATGCATGTAATATAAGCATGTGCTCTGAGCTACATTCTTAGCTCCCTTAGAGATTTTTGTTGTTGCTGCTGATGTTCGTTTAATCTTCAATTAAAGTGTTTTTTAATTTTTTATTCATTAATATTATTACATGTGAGTCAGTGTGGTTACAGATACATGTGTGCCACTGATGCATATGTAGAGGTCAGAGGACAACTTACACCTTCTCCTTTGTTGAGGCCAGGTCCTTCATGTTTTCCCTACTTTCACCTCCCATCTTGCCTTAGGAGTGGATTACACATGTGTCTTTATGGGAGCTCCTGGAGTCAAACTCAGATGGTGCAGACTTGTACAGCTAGCACTTTTCCCACTGAGGCATCTTCCTGGCCCTGGTGCATGTTCTTTAATCTAGTCTGTAAAGTCTGTGTCTCAATTGGTGAATTAAGGCCATCGGCACTCAAGGTTATATTTAGTGAGGGCTTGTTGCTCTTTATGGTTGTGTTTGTTCAGGTTGCTCAGTGAGTTAGTAATCCTCTCACTCTGGTAGTGTTGGATGTTCACTGGTTTGCTGTGTTGGACATGATTTATTCCTCCCCTGTTCTCTTCTGTTCATCTGTTGTATTTATGGACTGCGTACTGTCCTTCATTCTTGTGTGTGAAACTGTCTTCCTTCACTACATTAAGAATTTTCTGCACTGCTGCTTAAATGTCATGAATTGTCTTGACTTGAGATACTCTTTATTTTATCATTAGTTTATTTTTATGTGTATGAGAATTTGGTTACATGTATTTCTGTGTGCCACCTGTGTATTAGTGCCCTCCAGGGCTGGAAGAACCCCCTGGAACTGGAGTTGTGGTTGTTCATGCTGGTTGTGGATGCTGGGTATCAAACCTGGGTCTGCTGGAGGAGCATCCAGTGCTCTTAACTGCTAAGCCAGCTCTGTCTTGAAATAGTCTTCTCCATGATGTTGTTAGTTTTGTTCTTGTTTAGTTGGTAAGTTTGAGACTGGGAAAAGAATACTTGCTTGACAAGTATTTAACTTCCAAGGTTTGTAATAAATTATTCTTGTTTTCCGGGCTTTTAGGGGTGCTAGTGACAAATCTGATGTTATTCTGATGTTTCTCTCGCAGTTAATGTTTTTCTTTTACAGCTTTTAGTATTGTTACTTTGCTTTGTTTTTCTTTTTTCTTTTTCTTGTTTTGTTTTGTTTTTTCGAGACAGGGTTTCTCTGTGTAGTCCTGGCTGTCCTGGAACTCACTCTGTAGACCAGGCTGGCCTCGAACTCAGAAATCCACCTGCCTCTGCCTCCCAAGTGCTGGGATTAAAGGCGTGCGCCACCACTGCCCGGCTGCTTTGTTTTTCTTAAAGATTTTTGTCTGTCTGTCTGTCTGTCTGTCTGTCATTCTCTCTCTCTCTCTCTCTCTCTCTCTCTCTCTCTGTCTCTGTCTCTGTCTCTGTGGTGCATGCAGGGCAAAAGAGGTTGTTGAATCCCATGGTGCTGGAATTACAGGCAGTTGTGAGCTGCCTCGTGTGAGACCTAGGAACCAAACACTATTGTTTTCATGAGTAAGAGGTGACATCTCTCCAGCACCCAGATTTGTGTTTTGACATCACTATGATATGTGTGGAGAAGTGTGTCTGGCCATATGTATAATTGCATGTCTATTCTTTTTTCTGGGTTTTGGAAATTCTCAGCTATGATTTCATTGACTATCTGGTCTAAGTCCTTAGGTTTTATCCAGCTCCTTTTATTTTATGAATTCTTAAGTTTGGTCTTTTATGTGTACTAATCAGTTTTTGTCTTTCTCTGCATATGTATTGTTTCAACTTTGTCCTCTTTTCCTGATTTTTTTTTCCTGATTAGTGTTGTCTGATGATGCTTTTTGTTGTGGTACTTGATTTATTCTTTCATATATAATATTTGTGTCTGATTTCTTTTTAGTGTCTATGTTTCCTTGCTGAATTTTCCTTTATATATTTTACTTTTTCCTTTCAGGGTAATCATTCTCTTGTCCTTTTGGTAACTCCTCTTGTCAGATATAAGAGCTTTTCCAAAAAGATAAAAGAATATGAGTATAACATATCAGTTGAACACCTAAAACACAAAAGTGTTCATACTAAGAGAAAAAAATTAAAGAATGTATATAAAAATAGAGAACAGCCAGGCGGTGGTGGCGCACGCCTTTAATCCCAGCACTTGGGAGGCAGAGGCAGGCGGATTTCTGAGTTTGAGGCCAGCCTGGTCTACAGAGTGAGTTCCAGGACAGCCAGGGCTATACAGAGAAACCCTGTCTCGAAAATCCAAAAAAAAAAAAAATAGAGAACAAAAATGAGTATTAAAATATTCAAACACAAAAAAATATTCAAACACAAATGAGCAGTAAACTGAAGTGGATACTATGCTTAGTATACTGAAAGAGGGAGTACATTCTCATTCAGTGTTTCTTCCTCCCACCTATTTTTACCAAGTCATAACCTTCCTGTGATCCATGTACCTCCTCCCTGCTAATGTTGGGGTGCACAATGCTGAGGATTGGCCAGCTTCAGACTAGATGTGCTTTGGGATCTGTGGATTCTCTTGTTTTTGTTTGTTTGTTTGTTTTGTTTTGTTTTGTTTTGTTTCTGGAGATATGACTAGGTGAAGCTTCAGAGATTGAGATCGGATCCTACAGAATTCTGTCCTGCTGTGTTTGGGAAGGAGAATAGGATGGGATTGTGGGGGTTAGGAATCTCTCAGTTTCAAACTCCTGGGGACCATTTGGCCCTGGTTTGGGTTCCCAGCAGAGTGCTTGACTCCTGGTGCGTTCCTATGTGGAAGCCCAATGCAAAGGTGCTGCTGAACTGGGCTAGCTGCAGAGTTCCTTTTCTGTCACCATTGAGTTCCTTTTAACAGGAAATCTACCTTCCTTTCTCCCCTCCTTGTCTGATACTGAGGCAGCCATCTTCACTCATCTCTTGTTTTTTTTTTTTCTAATGAGCTTTTCTCTTTGTAGATCTGGTTTGAATATTCTTTTGCCCCCATCTTGCAACTTGAAAATCTCAACATTTTTCTGACCACTTAGACTTTTTTTTTTTCCTGGAGCTGAGGACTGAACCCAGGGCCTTGTACTTGCTAGGCAAGCATTTTACCACTGAGCTAAATCCCCAGTCCCACCACTTAGATTTTTTTTTTTTTTTTTTTTTTTTGAGACAGGGTTTCTCTGTGTAGCCCTGGCTGTCCTGGAATTCACTCTGTAGACCAGGCTGGCCTCGAACTCAGAAATCCACCTGCCTCTGCCTCCCAAGTGCTGGGATTAAAGGCGTGCGCCACCACCACTTAGATTTCTTTTTTTTTTTTTTTGGTTTTTCGAGACAGGGTTTCTCTGTATAGCCCGGGCTGTCCTGGAGCTCACTCTGTAGACCAGGCTGGCCTCGAACTCAGAAATTCGCCTGCCTCTGCCTCCCAAGTGCTGGGATTAAAGGCGTGCGCCACCACCGCCCGGCCAACTTAGATTTCTTTATGGGCTACTTTTGACATAGCAGTGGGTTTTCACCTGGATCAAGTGATCTCAGAAGAGATGGAGAAAAGTGAGAAGTTGTAACCTAACTCGGAAGTGATATCCCATCACTTCTGCTGTGTTCATATTTATCTACTCAGATTAGGTACAGTGGGAAAAGAACTACTCAGGAATGGTAAAACCAAGGAGCAACAGCTGGGCAGGTATGGGAGTAGGGTTATCTTGAGGCCATCTACCATGGATATGTGGGCCATGCAAAGACCATCAACTCTAGTAAATACTCATATGCTGTGCACACTTCAAATTCATCAAATGATGGTCAGCTTGTTGGCAATTGTTTTCACATGTTTTCTTTTGGTTCCGATTTGGTGTGTATTTTGCTAAAGATAGTTCAAACAAAACCAATGTAGAATCTACATTTGACCTCTTTCAACCTCCATGGTTTAGTAGCTTGCTGAGAGCTGGTGTCCTTTGCCATAACTATGTATACATCTGTATTAGGATCTGCAGATGCTGAAGGACAAGATGAAGTAAGAATGGGGACAGCTACAAGCCTGGCTGCTTCCCAAGGCTAAGAAAGGTGAAAGGTCAGCACATTGGTTTGAGCCACAGTGTTGCCTGGCTCATACTGAGCTCCTGAGTATAAATGGTAGAATAATACTTTCACTATTGACTACTTGAGAAGAAATCATTATTCATGATATGATACAATAGTGCATTCATTTTGTACCTATATATCTTTTATACTTTTGGAGTTTTCTTTTTAAAGTTGTTCCCCATTCTTAGGTAAGATTTTGTCCCTGAATCTTCATCTCCTGGTTTTGTTGTCATTTGCAGTAGAAGAGATTGAAGCCAGGGCTTTCTTTGCACATGCTGGGCTGATCTTTTTATTTCTTCTCTAGCATTTAAGTCTTTACCTAGGACCCTCCTTTATGGATGATGGTAGAAATCCAGGTTTTGTTTTCTCTAAACCATTTATCGCCCAAATCTTATAGATTTTCTATTCTCTCTCTCCTCATGGATTTGTGGTACTGGCTTTATTATGTGGCTGTTTGAGTATTCTTGTTTGTTTTGTGAATACATCATTATTCTTAGTACTGTAGTACTTTTATGTAGCTGGGAGGTAAAGGATGTTTCTTATTTGGGATTTATTTTTTAAGTGTTATTTATAGTTATTTTTTTCATGTAGACTTTGAGGCCAACTTGGAATTCCCTTCAAAAGCTTACTGTCTCCATTAAGATAGCAGTAGAGTTAACTGAAGAAAAACAACTTTTTCAGTGTTTTTGTCTTACCTGTTAGCGTAATTTATTTCTCCTTATTTTCACAGAGCTTTGAAACAATGTTCTTATACTTTTATGTTGAGTTAAACATTTCATTTTTAGGCTATAGTTTTAGGGCTCTTTTATACTTGCCATTTGTGTCTAATGGAACATTATTGATTTTCCTCCCTGTGTACCATTATGGAAAATTTCAGACTTGAAAAATAGTTTAAAGATTTGGGAGGGAAGGATAATGCTGAGGGCATGTTCTATTCCTGACACACACCCTGTGCCACTGTGAAGATTGTTTTAACAGTAAATCTCCTGATGTCCACCTCATACTCTCCAGTGAACACTCTAATGTACCTACTTTTATTGTCATCTGTCTCTCCATATGTTTATTAATCTCTTACACCTTTATTCATTTAAAAGTAAAAGTCAGGTATGGTAGCTGAATTAAAGGCTGAGGCAAAAGGGTTGCTGCAACTTCGAGATGAGTCTAGGCTAGAGTGAGTCTCTGTCTTAATGCAAATAAAAGGGCTGAGAATGGGTTAAGGTAAAGGCACCTGCTACCATACCTTATGGGTCACATATAAAACATGCATCATACATGCATTAATAATCAGTGGAATTAAAATGTTTGAATTAAATAAATACAAGGTAAATATGTTAATGTACTTAATTTAAAGATGAGTTGTCATTAGCTACAGTTCAGCATTTCACACAGTAAAATAGGCAAACGTACAAAATATCATTTGAGGAATAAATGTATACATCAGTGGAATTCAAACCCTTATCAAGAGGAGAATGTTATCATTACCTCAGATAATAATATCTTTTGTATGGCCCTATTGTCACTCAGTCCTACCCAAAGAAAGAAGGAAAGAGAAGATGAAAATAATAGTAACACAACATGGAGGTCTATAAACGTGTCATTATGAGCAATTAAAGATGAACATAGATTAACAACTGAGATTATAGGTGTGTAGTACAGCGCCCAGCAAGGTCAACCTAAAACATACTGCTGGAGCCAGCCTTCAAGCCTGCTTGCCTCCCTGCTTGGTCCCACATTTGGTTTGGGAGTCGTTGAGACAGGATCTTGTTAGGCAGCACAAGTAGAATTTGAACTCAAGGTCTTCCTGCCTCAGCCTCTAGTTTCTCAGATTACAGGCTTGTGCTAGCATGTCTCTACTAAATTTTGTTTTAAAAGGCTTTTTATATTTATTTTATATGTGTGAGTATTTTGTTGTCTGCACATATGTATATGCACTGTGTGTCTGCTTGGTGCCCGGGGAGCGTTGGACTACCCCTGGACCTGGAGTTTTATGGATAGTTTGTAAGGCACCAGGCGGGTTCTGGGAAGTGAACTCAGATCCTCTGCAGAGCAGCAAGTGCTCCTCACTGCTGAGCCATCACTTCAGCCCCCATACCTTTTTTTTTCTTTTTTAAATCATGGAATGTTTTGTTTTTCTTGTTCATCGTTTTCTTTCATAGTGTCAGCAGTCAGCACCACTGCCCTCTTACTTGCAGATCTTAGGGTGGAAAGTGGGAAGAGAGCAGAAGTGTGCCTCTGAGGAGGGAACATGTCCCTGGGGATCCCCACTAATGCTGGTTTACTATAAAACAGTGACTCTAAATATGATTATTTGAGGGCATGGGGATTTAAACTGAGAGAATTGGCCACACATGTCTTTAATCCCAGTACTTGGGAAGTAGAGGCACTTGGTGTCAGAGATCCGAGATTGGAGGCCAACAAAGGCTACACAGTACAGCCCTGCTTTAAAAAATATATTATGCCAGGCAGTGGTGGCACATGCCTTTAATCCCAGCACTTGGGAGGCAGAGGCAGGCGAATTTCTGAGTTCGAGGCCAGCCTGGTCTAAAGAGTGAGTTCCAGGACAGCCTGAGCTATACAGAGAAACCCTGTCTCGAAAAACAAAAATCAAAATCAAAAACAAAAACCAAAAACAAAAAACGAAATATATATATATTATAAGCCTGGTGCTGGTGGCTCACGTCTTTAAAGCAGAGGATAGATCTCTGAATTGGAGGCCAGCCTGGTCTACAGAGTGAGTTCAAGAATAACCAGAAACTCTACACAAAGAAACTCTGTCTTAAAATAAAAAATAAAATAAAGCATATATATAGTGGATATGAGTGTGTATTTGTATATGTGTGGAAACAGGAGTGTGTGTGCAGGTCACAGGCCGACTTTCTCCAGAGTTGGTTCTCTCCTTCCACTGCGGGTTCCAGGGATCCAACGCAGGTCCTCAGTCTTGCATGGCAAGCATGTTTACTCACTGAGTTAACCTAGACTTGGAAAATTTTTTTAAGCCTTTTTTCCCCCCTTTCTGTTCCTTACTTAGCTTTTTCTTGAAACCAAGTACATCTGGTGACAGTTTACAAAGTGGCAGCATTCCATCGGCAAATGAGCCCTCAGAACATAAACCTGTGTCCAGTTCAGCAGAACCTGACTTGATCAGTTTTATGGATTTCTCGAAACACAGTGAGACCATAACAGAAGAAGCAAGTTATACAGTCGAATCAAGGTATTGAAGGATGCACAGAGTTCACTGTAAGAAATGTAGTATTCCTCTGAACATTCTGCATCAAAAGACAGCATGGTTGGACTTGGTGGTGCATGGCTGAATGAGGAAGATTATAAATTCAAGGCCAGTCTGTCCCATCCCTGCCCCCTACCAGTGTAAATCATATCCTGTCTCTGTTTTTAGTTAGATCATAGCCTGGTAGAAATTAAAAGCCTTTCAGCAAATCTGTATTTACAGATGACATGGACAAGTACTTCCTTGAGATTGTGTTTAGTAAAGATGAAGTAACATTTAAATAAAACAATGGAATAGGCAGGTTTTTTAATCTCATGCCCTGGCATACCCATCACCAGTTAAGCATCTAACCAGGGTTAGGAGAATGCTGGGGAATATTTAATGTTTCCATGGGGAGAGAGGTGGTAGAGACTGAGCAGGCCTCAGGAGGTGAGCGCTCCACCACTGAGCCACACACACCTCCATCTTCACATTCAGGTCTTTCATTTTTATATATAAATTTGTTCTGTGTTATCAGAAGTGCATGTTTTAGTTTTGTTTTAACAATTTTATTTATTTTCTGTATGTAAGTACACCAGAAGAGGGCATTAGATTCCATTACAGATGGTTATGAGCCACCATGTAGTTGTTAGGAATTGAACTTGGGACCTCTGGAAGACTTCTTAAAATGCCGAGCCATCTCTCCAGTCCCATATTTAATTCTTAACAGATGCCAGTTCTTCTCAGGGGATTCAGAATATTTAAACTCACTGTACCTCTCTAGAATTTAGATTGTTTTTTATGACTAACATTGTTTCATTTTTTTCAGTGATCAAATAAAGAAAACCAGTGCTGATGTCCAGAGTGTGAAAATTTCATCTGTGCCTAACAGTTTATCTAAACGAAATGTATCTTTGACTCGAAGTCATAGTGTTGGAGGTCCTCTGCAAAATATCGACTTCTCCCAACGACCATTTCATGGCATCTCAACAGTCAGTCTTCCAAATAGTCTGCAGGAAGATGTGGTATGTGTTGTTGTAACCGTACTGTGTGCTTTTGTAATATAGCTTGGAGCACCTCACAGTTTCATGGTAGCATGTGAAAAGTGATAGGTACAATGTTTTTGGTGGCACTTGAGGCCGAGACAGGAGGATTAAATTCATCTTTGTGGTACACAGTGAATTTTAAGCCCAGCAGAACTACATAGCAAGACCCTGTCATGCTGGGGAGATGGCTCAGCCATTAAAATGCTGCTGCACAAGCATGAAAACTCAGAGCTTCAGATCTTCTGCACCAGTGTAAAAAGCCATGTAGAATGGTCCATGCCCTATAATGCAAACACTATAGATGGAGACAGGATGATTACTGAACTTGCTAGTCAGTCAAGTCAGGCTGAATTGTTGAGCTCCAGGTTCATTGCGAGACTTTGTCTCAGAAAATAAGGTAGAGAATATTGAGGGAGACACCCAGTGTCACATGCTGCACATATTCAAACACATAGGAGCATAGAAATTTGCCAGGTATGATGGTGCATGACTGTTCCAAAAAATCTATAAAGAAACTGAAAGATTTTCAAATGGAAAATGTACGTGAGTGTGTGTGTGTGTGTTGGCTTTTTGAGACATGATCTTGTGCTGTAGCTCTGACTGCCCTGGAACTTGGTGTGTAAATGAGACTAGCTTCAAACTTGTGGGAATCCTCATGTCTCTATCTCCCAAGTGCTGGGATTACTGGCATGTGCCACCACACCTGGCTTAAATTTTAGTATTGAAATTTTCAAAAATGTACAAGGTCTCACAGTATAGGCTAGGCTGGCCTCAAATTCAGAGATTCTCCTGCCTCTGTCTTCCAAGTAGTATGTACTTCCATACCCAACTCATTAAGTCTCCTGACCCAATAGCTACCTTTAGTAATTTTTAGTTTATGGCTATTTTTTTGGTTATGATTTTATGAAAATCCTTATTAACTTTTCTATACCTAGATTATTTTGAAAGCAATTTCTATGCTACATATAGATACTTCAGCAGGTATCTGTAAATGAAGACTTTAACAGATATGATCACAATATTATACCCTAAACTAGGGAATCATCAGGATATTCAGTCTTTGTTCAGAGTTTTAATCATGAAAGTTGTGTCAAAAGTGTGTCTGGGGCAGGACGTGGTCTTAGGCATCAAGGTAAAGTATAGTCACGCCTGGCTTGGTTGGGGCTCAAGAGGTTTCCACAGTCCTGATTTGGTTGTTTGCAACCTTACAAATTGGCATTTGAATCTAGAAATGTCGTTTGCTTCAGGGTTTGTTTTGTTTTAATTTTATTCTAAATTTAAATTTTTTAATTTTAAATTTAATTCTAAAATTAACTTTTAGAAAAAACTTGGAAATAAAAAATATTAGAAACCAAAATTAACCAGACTCAAAGTCTATACATCTTTTATGTATCTGGAATTGCTACTTTGAAGTTGTGAACCTTCATGTTGGATTTTACACTTTCACGTTTTCTTTTGTTTAAAACATGAATTTAAAATTTAAAAGTTTTAAATTTTTTTGCCTTTTTGAGACATCTTTATAATCCTAGCTGACCTTGAATTCAATATGTAGATCACTTTGGCCTCACACTTGGAGCAGCTCTGTCTCTGCCAGCCACAAAGAAAACAAAAGAATTAGCATTGTAAAAGAGTCTGTTGAAATATAGATTATCGCCGGAAGGTGGTGGCGCACACCTTTAATCCCAGCACTTGGGAGGCAGAGGCAGGCGGATTTCTGAGTTCGAGGCCTGCCTGGTCTAAAGAGTGAGTTCCAGGACAGCCAGGGCTGCACAGAGAAACCCTGTCTTGAAAAAACAAAAAACAAAAAAAAAAGAAAAAAAAAAGAAATATAGATTATCAATTTTCTCCTATCATGATTTAGCCTAAGTATAATCCAGTGGCTTTCACTGCTTTGGTTCATTAGCATGTTTTACTACATATAATAATGGCCCTGAAATAACAAAGTTTTAACAGGATAGAGAAGTATAATCTCACTGCAAAGTACTGGAAAACATACAGAGTTAGATAATGTCCACTTTTTGTCTATTTTTAAAGGACCATCTAGGCAAGCGGCCCAATCCTCCTCCTGTGTCTGTGCCCTATTTGAGTCCTCTAGTGCTTCGGAAGGAACTTGAATCTTTGCTAGAAAATGAAGGTGATCAGGTCATTCATACATCCTCGTTCATCAATCAACATCCAATCATTTTCTGGAACCTGGTTTGGTATTTCAGACGTTTGGACCTTCCTAGCAACTTGCCAGGACTCATTCTCACCTCTGAGCATTGTAATGACGGTGTGCAGGTGAGTGCTTCTGCACTGTGACTGCACCGCTGTAGTTGAGTAGCTGAACCTCAAGCTACTGAGCACGGATACAGGAGCTTTACAGAGGAGGAGCTAAAACTTGGGATGGGATGGTAGCGCTTGAACTCTGAGAGGCTTCTGTTTTCGTTTTGTTTTTCTTAGCTGTGTGGGCTATGTTTAAGGTTTTCTGGTCTAAGATGACTGACTTCTGTCTTCAGGCTATCACAGTCACATTCCAGCCAGCAGTGAGGAGAAAACTGAGAGGTAGCCAAGAGAGGGCCTTCTCTCTTAGAGCCCATGGAGTTGTACATAGTGTTTCCACATGTGTGTCAATATGGTCTGGATTTAGATTGCTCTGTCTAGCAGTGCTGGTGGCTAGAAAAGGAAGGTTTTATCATTAGCTATCACATTTTCTCACAGCTGTCTTATTGGAAAATAGCTAGCTATCTTATTGGAAAGATCTTATTCATCATTTTCAGATAATATAATTAAAAATTAGGGAAGTATTTGTGTAAGGTACATTTCTAATTAGTGATTACACTAAGATCACTCCAGCTGCCTGCCTCCCAAAGCCCTTGCTGGGGTCACTCACTGCAGACAAGGAGCTGCCGGCATGCCTTTAGTTTATAATACTGAACTTTGGGAGACAACAAGCCCCTGTTTGACTTGTTTATTTTAACAAGTAATGAGAAAAAAAGATACTTCATAACAATTAACCGACTTGGTTGTAATGCTGATTACATCATTGTGCCTTTGTTCTATTTACCGAATTATCCATCCAGTCTTTTAATGTCAGAAAAACAAAACATATGTGCCAGAAAATAACAAGACAGTTTGTCATCAGGCATTAATAAAAATTAAAACTTTGGCTCATAATTTTGAGTCTATAATTTAGAAAAAAAATTTAAGTTTTCTTATTACTGGTAACATTTTATTTGGAAAACTAATTTTATTAATCTCTTTTTTAGCTTCCTCTATCATCTTTGTCCCAGGACAGCAAACTGGTATACATACAACTGCTATGGGATAATATCAACCTTCATCAGGAACCAGGAGAACCTCTGTATGTCTCTTGGAGGAACTTGAGTAAGTCAAAGAGAATTGAAGAAACAGGGTTGGTCTTGTCAGGACATTCCTTAAATCCAGGAATTCCAAAGGCAGAGGCAAGTGGATCTCTGTGAGTTGTAAGCCAGCCAGGGCTCACTACATGGTGAGATGCTGTCTTTAAAAAAGACAAAACAGTGCTTTTAATTCCAGTACTCTGGAGGCAGAGGCAAGTTCTAGGCCAGCCTAGTCTACAGAGCAAGTTCCAGGATATTCAGTGCTACACAGAGAAATTCTGTCTCAAAAAAAACAAATGAATGAGTGAATGAACAAATGAATGAATGAACAAATGATGACAAAACTGTACTGGCAGGGTAATTCAACGGGTAAGCTCTTGCCATCATGCCTGGTCATCATAGTTCAGTCTAGAGACGCACAGGGTGGAAACTCACAAAAGTTGACCTCTGACTTCCAAACATACATCGTCCTCACACATACATTTGTACACACATAAATTAGACAATCAGTCAATCAGTCGGTCAATCTAGTGACCTTTACGCTACCTTTGGCTTTAAGTCTTGTAGTTGGCATTTTAAGTAAAATAATGTCTTGGAGGATTATTTTGATAGTGACGTCTGTTTCAGTTCTAAATGCCTCTAGTGCTTGGATCTCTATTTCTCTACATTTTAGGAAATATTCAGCAAGGACTTTGTTCTGTTGGGCCATCTTGATGGCTTTCTTTACCTACCTACCTACCCACCCACCCACTCATCCTTTATTGTTATCTGAATATAACATTTCTTCAGCCTGTCCCCTATTCCATATTCTTGATATTCTTTCTTCTGTTGGATCCTTCTCTGCTGACAGGATGTTTTCTTTTGTGTTTGTCATCTGACCAAGTTCTTCTCTATTGTTGCTAGTTTTGTTTTGGTTTTTTATCTTAATTTCTCATCCATGTTGACAACTTTTTCATCTATATTGCTGACTTTTTTATAAATATATGTCTTAAAATTATTTTCTGCTTTTTTTTGTTTGTTTTATTTTGTTTTTGAGACATGGCTTTTTTTTCTGTATGGCCATGGCTGTCCTGGAATTTGCTCTTTGGATTGGCTGGCCTCATATTCATAGAGATCTGACTACCACTGTCTGGCTCATCGGCTTATTTGTGTTCTCTTTGAAAACATTGATCCTTTTCAGAGATAACTTTTTGATTTTCTTTATCCAGCACTTTACCATCTTAGTGTATCTGAATTTGGTCATTAAGAACTTAAGGTCTTTTGGAGGATTCATAGTACTTTGGAGACCTTTTGTTTGTTTTGTTGTATGGTGTTTCTGTTGTCTTTATTTGGGGACAGCTTTTTGCTCCATATCCCAGGCTGGTTTTGACTTGTATCTTCCTAGATCCCTTTGAGTCAGACTTTGTAGTGGTGGGATAACCTGTCTTTGCCATCTTTTCCTGTGTCACATGTATGCATGCATGTATGAACGCACATATACAAATAAGAAATTTTTAAGGAGGAATTGCTTAGTTTAGTGATTGTAGTTCAATAAAACTGTTATTTTAAAAAATGGAGGGACTAGAGTGATGTGTTAAGAGTGCTTGCTGCTCATTCAGAGGTCTGGAGTTCAGCACCCACATCAAGTGGGTTGTTACTGCAGCTCATAACCACCTGTACTCAGTTCTAGGGGATTAGACACCCTCTTTTTGGGTACAGGAACAGCTGTACACATATATACATATACACATACACACATGCATAATAAAATTTTTAAATTGAGGATTTAGGGGAATAGTAGAAGACTTTCCTAAAACAAGATGGCCTTGTGTTGGGGCTGGAGAGATGACCAGTAGTTAAGAACATGGACTGCTCTTCCAGAGGTCCTGAGTTCAATTCCCAGCAACCGCATGGTGGTTCACAACCATCTGTAATGGGATCTGATGCCCTCTTCTGGTATGTCTGAAGACAGCTACAGTGTACTCATATACATAAAATAAATAAATTGAAAGAAAGGAAGGGAGGAAGGAAGGAAGAAGAGGAAGAGAAGGAAGAGGAGGAGGAAGAGGAGGAGGAGCAACAGCTTTGTATTAAATCCCTAGCACAGAAATTCCTTAGCTATGTATGGTGGTGTATGTGCCCATAATTCAAGCATTCAGAAAGCCGCAGCAGGAAGATAAATCACAAGTTCAAGGTCAGTCTAGACATTGCTAGTTCCCAGTCAATTTGGACTACATAGCTAGTTCCTATTTGCATATTTGTACTGTTCGCTGATATAACTGTTGGGATAAAGATCACGTCTGAGATAACCAGTAAGAAGGAGCCAATGATGATAGAGAGCTGTGCTGTTAGTAGTTTAGTTGGCAGCTGTGTTATTTGAGAAATACATTATTTTATAACAAGTACTAGACGTGAGGGCAGGCTAGGTGAGGACCTATTGGATCATATTCCCATCTCATGGGAAGATAATGGGTAAAAGTGTGTAGTCCCGAAATTCTTTGTATCAAAGCATCCTTTTCTTCCAGCCTAAGCACACACTTTATACATTTATGCATGTTTAATGCTACATATGATTTCAGCTGCACTCCAGCACACTGTTGTAAGTAAGATTAAGCTCTCCAATACTTAATATGAAAAGTACAGTGGCATAAACAGGTAAAGAGTTCTTTCTCATGGTTATATTTTGAAATTATATTGTATATTTTAAGCACATACAGTTTTTCTTTTGGGGGGGGTCGCGGGTTGAGACAGGATTTCTCTGTCTTGCTCTAGTTTTCCTGGAACTGGTTCTATAAATCAGGCTAGCCTCAACACAGAGATCCACCTGTCTCTGCCTCCCAAGTACTGGGATTAAAGCCACCACCCAACCTATGATTTTTATTTTCTAATAAAACTTTAAGTATGAGTTGGATAGTTTCTAAGCAGTTCTTTTTTCATCAGGGTTCTGGTTCCTTCTGGTATATTCACTTCTATGATAAGTAAAAGTTGCTCCTTCGTCCCACTATAGTTTCTGGAATTTAGTATCACACCCCAGCCTCTGGGAAGAAACTGTAAATTGGAAAAAAGGGGAAAAGGTTATCCTATTTAAAAAGAACAAAGAGTATGTTTATTAAGCACACTGTCACATGGTTTTATTAGCAAGTGGGAGGTGATATTGCATAGACAATGAGACGTGACACAGCCCTGGAAACCTGTTACTGCTTAGGAAACTTACTCTCTATGTATCGTTCTTTAGATTCTGAGAAAAAACTGTCAGAGGAGCAGCAGGCAGCCAGCGCTTTAGTTGAGACTATCAGGCAGAGTATTCAGCAGAACGATGTTCTTAAGCCCATCAACCTGCTTTCCCAGCAAATGAGGCCAGACACGAAAAGACAAAGGTAATGATTTCAGTATCTTTGACTTGATTCCACTTGATTTAACATTTTATGATATATGTTATTTTTTTACGTTTTATTGATTTTTTTGTGTGTGTGTGAAATTTACATCATAGCCCAATCCCATTCATCTCCCTGTCCTTTCTTACTTGCCCTCCACACTTGCAACCTCCCTGCCAGAAGGGAAAAAAAAAAAGAATTTCATTGTAGAAGCTGTACTGTGTGACAGTGTATCCCTACAGTATGTGTCACACAGTATGCCCTTTTGTCCACATTTCTTTACTTGCAAATGACCATTACAGTGAGTAATTGGTCTGGTTCCAGGCCTCTATCAATGCTAAATTCTCACCAGGACTCCATTTAGATATCCTGTTGTTGCCCTGTGTCATAAAGGTCCTACAGCTTTGGATCTGCAGGACTGGCCCCTTCATGTGCTCCTGCAGTTCATAGGTGGGCCAACTCAAAGTCCTAGATTTGGACCTGGGTGGTAGCTGAGATGATCAGCTGGCTAGCTCTCCAGTACCCACACCACTGGGGCAAGCTCCCCTGCACTGTCCTGGCAAGCTCTCCCAAGGCAACAGCCAACAAGGGACAGAGCTACAGAGCTGGCTCTTATGCTCTTGGGGCTGGCTCACGTATGCCCATGCCCAGGCCGGCAGGGCCAGCTCTCCTGCCTGCTGTAGGTGGCAAAGAATGAAAGGGGTGACTTCTCATCCTCGCCACCGCATGGCATACAAGTATCAGGGCCAGCTCTCCCTAGCTCACACACTTGGGTCCCACTCACCTGCAACCTCCACAACCAGGGCCAACATATTGTCTATCGCCTGATTGTTTCTGGCCTGCAAGCTGCCCCAGTAATGACACAGAGACCTTTTATTAATTATGAAATCGTGGCCTTAGCTTGGACTTGTTCCCAACTAGCTCTTATACTTGCCTTGAACCCGTTTATACTAATTTATGTTCTACCACATAGCTGGTTACCTCTTGAGTACCAAGACTTGCTTCTTCCTCTGAGTTTGGCTAGTGAATCTCTCACCTTATTCTTTCCCAGAGTTCCTATTTCCTCCCCAAAATACCACCTATCCTTGGGGTGGTGGTGGTGCACGCCTTTAATCCCAGCACTTGGGAGACAGAGGCAGGAGGATTTCTGAGTTTGAGCCCAGCCTGGTCTTTACAGAGTGAGTTCCAGGACAGCCAGGGCTACACAGAGAAACCCTGTCTCGAAAAACCAAAAAAAAAACAAAAAAACAAAAAAAAACAAAAAAAAAACCACCTATCCTTTCCTGCCTTGAAGCCATCATCTCTTTATTAAATCAATCAGAAGGTGTTGGAGATGTTTACAAAACACTGAGATAGATGATGCTTCCATCATAAACAGTGCACAAGAGATTATCTCAACAGGCACTGGGAAGGGGGTTCTCTTGGGCTTGCTTTGCCTGCCTGGGCCACATTAGCATGTATGTTATATTGTAGTACCTCTGATCATAAAAGAATAAGTTCTATTCAAATATATGCATTCATATCTTATCACAACGTACAGTGAGCCAAAGAGTAAAGGTTAAATCTTAGTAAGGTAAGTCATAGATAATGAAGGAATATGGTATATATTTTGGAAATGTTTCCTTTCTTCACTGGAGTCTGTTAATTTCTAAATTTTGATATACACAAGTATGTATGTGCCATCCTGTGATGACGATACCGTGTTTTTCTTGTTGAATAAAAAAATTATGAGATTAGAAGTAGAATTGCTTTAGGAAAGAGATAAAAATAATGAACTCAGAAGTGAGTCTCTTCCTGCTCCTTTTGTTGGGATCTGTACATATTCCCATCTTGACTCAGTGAATTTTACTGTGCAAGCTTTAACATTATAAATTTTCCCAGAGTCCTATTCCTTTTTCTTTTTTTGGAGATAAGGTCTCCCAGTGTAGCTTTGACTGGTCTGGAACTCAGTATGTAGACCAGGTTGTCCTTGAACTCACAGAGATCTACCTGCATCTGCCTCCAAAGTGCTGAGATCAATGGTATGTGCCACCACACACCCAATTCCCAGAGTCCTTTTTGGAGCTTCTTACTCATAGCCCCTGTGATTATGGCCTCAGAAGTGATAGAACAAGAATTCACACTGACACCTGATGGTGTACTTAACATCTAACTGTTGAAGTTGAGATGATTTTGAAATCTCAGGAGTAACTTGCATCTGTAGTTTGCATGCTAAAAAGGGTTTGAATGTCATTTTACTGTTTCTGAAGCTTCTAGGAGAAAGCTTCATATGAGACATAATTAGAATTTACATTGCTTCCTAATTTCTTTATTTTTTGATACAGGCTGGACTTGAACTCTCTCTGTCACCCAAGTGCTGAGAATATAGGCATGTGCCACCAGGACAGTAAATTCATTTTGCAAGTCCACCTCATCCTTATTTTTTGTTTGTCTTGGTAGATAAGGATTAGACTTTGGCCCTTGTGCATGGTGGACAAACACTGTGCCCCTGTGTCACAGTCGTAGAGCAATAGTGCTGGTGTTCAAACCCAGAGAAGGGCTGTGCATCTTCAGCCAGGGCTCTGTGATGGAGCCACACTGCCTAACCCCTTAACTTTTTTCTAACATTTTAAAATTTGAATTAGAGGCTCACAGGACACTTTTTATAATATAAAGTTTAGTGTAGCATTCAACTAGTTTCCTCAAAGATACCTCACATGCCTGAGGTGTTACATGGAAGCAGGAAATAATTACAGAGCTATTAGCTAAGTATCAAGTTATCAATGGTATGTGCCTCATACCATACTCACTGTGCACTGCCAGGTATACTGGTTCATATCTGTGGTCTCAGCACTTAGACAAGGCAGGAAGATGCCCAAGAGTTTGAGGCCAGTTTTAACCACACAGTAAGCTCCAGGCCATCCTGGACTAGAGTGACCCTCTGTTTGAAGAAACCCCCAAATCAACATTCCATCTGTATTGTATGCACTTTGTTGTTGTTTTGCTGACTACTTCAGAATCTTTCTTTTTCTTTTTAATAGGAGTTTATACAGAGAAATCCTTTTCTTATCATTAGTGTCTCTTGGGAGAGAAAACATTGATATTGGTAAGTTAATTAATGGGAGATCAATAAAAATTTTAGGTTTTTTTTTTGAAGTTAAAGGTTTTTTGTTTGTTTTTTTGTTTTTAAATGGAGCTGGTGGGAGTGTTAAATCACAGGTCCCAGCATACAAGGACCTGGGTTCATTCATCAGCATAAAAAATGTAAAGAAAATGTGGCTGGTATTAGTAGTTGACTTTAAAAAGATTGCAGTGCACTGGGCAGTGGTGGCGCACACCTTTAATCCCAGCACTTGGGAGGCAGAGGCAGGTGGATTTCTGAGTTCGAGGCCAGCCTGGTCTACAGAGTGAGTTCCAGGACAGCCAGGGCTACACAGAGAAACCCTGTCTCAAATAAATAAATAAATAAATAAATAAATAAATAAATAAATATTGCAGTGCGATTGGACAGCGTTCTACACCTGCTGTCATGTCATGCCACGCCTTCTACACCATTGTGGACTGTCCCACTGGAACTGTAAGCTAAAATAAAAACTTTCTTTAAAAAGAAAACCAAAACAGATTAACTGCTTTTAGCTGGGCCTAGTGCACATGCCTGTATTTTCAGCACCTGGGGGCTAAGATTGGAGGACCACAAGTTGGAGGGCAGTGTGGTGGGCGGGGCTCTATACGAGTAAGACTGTCAGCAGGTGAGATGGCTTACCGAAGTTCCATCCCCAGTACCCACCCACAAGGAACTAGAGAACTGAGTCCCCTGATTGTTCTCTGATCTCCACTCTACCCTAAAAATTTCTATCTAAATAAGCAATGTAATCTGTGTCACATGACTCAGAATATTTTTTTAAAGTACATAGCTTTTGTTTCATTAACACAATTGCATTTTTGAAAATGTCTTTCAGAGGCTTTTGACAATGAATATGGACTCGCATATAGAAGTCTGTCTACAGAGATTCTTGACAAGTTACAGAAAATCGATGCACCACCCAGTATCAGTGTGGAGTGGTGCAGGAAGTGTTTTGGAGCACCTCTCATTTAAATAAGATTCGTTCAAACTTTGGTAGAGTACTGGGGAAATAGATCCTGTCTGGAAACTTTCTATGTTCTTCCCAAATCATAACGTGGTGAAAGCTGAAATGAAGTAACTCTGGGGATGAAATACAAATGAACTGTAATTCATACTGAATCATCTCAGATTGTAAAACAGCACTCAGTTCCCTGAGGTTTATTGATGGTGAAGACTCCTGACCTATTTCCCTGCCTCTGCTGAAAATCAACACAACTATTTTTGCGTCTCACAGTATGTGTAAAAGAAATAATGAAGTTTTCATCTTTCTAGATAACTTGCTTTTATTGAAGTTGTCCAGCTATGGAATGGCAAATTAAATTTGCCTAACCAAAAGACATGAAATAGTTCAATAATAAGAATAACTGTGTATGATTGTGTGTGTGAGGCTATGTAGTAAGTATGTGTGTAGGTGTCTATTTATTAAAATACTGAGGTTGCATGTTGAGCGGTTTTCTGAGGGAGCCCTCGTTGCCTAGTCAGTGACTACTATACTTGTTTGTAGTCAGCAGTTCCAAAAACATCTAAGTCTTTCTTAACAACTGCCTTCCCTATGATTTAAAATCTTATATCTTTGCCTTTTAAATTATGTAATATCTTGCTTCATAGGTTATATCTTAGATATCCAGGTGCTCCTTTCCATCTTCTTCCAATACTAAGTTAATCTGCAATGTTTTCATTGGAATCCAATAGGTAAAATGAAATTAATTTTTGTGACCTAACAAAATTATCCAGAACATGCTTTTAAGATACTAATGTATAGTCTTTGACCCCGAAATCTTTATTTAGGTAGGCCACTTGTTGGTATTAATTACTTTTTTATAATCCTGGTCTCATGGGAGGCATAGGCAGGAGGATCTCAAGTTCAAGGCCAGCCTGAACAACTTTTAGTGAGCCCTGTCTCAAGAACTTGAAAGGAGATCTGGGAATATTGCTCAGTGGTAGAGCACTTAGCTAACATACATGAGGCTCCAGGTTCAGTTCCTGGTACCACAAAATAAGTAAGTAAATAAATACATAGATAGATAAAACCTGTGGGATGGAGAATTTGCACTGCACATAAAAGTTTTATTCTTGTACAATATTTTGATTTATATGCTTGTGAATAAAAGTGTGTATTTGTAAATACTGTTTTTTTAGGTCGAATCAATTAAGTCTAAAAACTTTAAACCTTACTGAGCTCATTGCCAGGTTTAAGAAAATCATGACCTCACATACCCCACCCACCTTGACAGAAACTGTGCTTTCTGTTTAAAGCATCCATTTAAGAACAACAAATTTGTCTTAGCTGTCAGTGTGGTGTAGAAAACCAGTGACTATGTGTGCACTTACAGTAACAGTGCAGATTATTAAACCGGTTGACAAACTTACCTCAACATGGTATACTTCAACATGGTGGGCATTTTTTAAAATTATGTACCAACATTTCAACGTTAAAAGTTGTTAACTGACTTTCCAGAATCCTAGTCTGAATTTGAGTGTTAAAAGTTTTATCAGAAATTTTGTAAAGGTTTTCTCTTACATTCAAATTGGATCTTTTACAGTTTCAAATATATATATATTTTTACAGCTTATACTTTAACATTTATTGACCCAACAAATTTTTAAATTATCTTACATATATAAAATTTAAGTTGAATAAAAAGAAAAGTCTCAAATTTGGTGTCTGTTGAATTTCCTTTTTTTTTTTTTAATTTATTTATTTTTTATTGGATGTTTTATTTACATTTCATATGTTGTCCCCTTACCCCATCCCCCACCCACCCAGGAACCCCCAATCCCCTCACCCCTCCTCCTCCTTCTCTGTGGATATAACCTCTACCCCCCCCACTCCCACCTCCCCACCCTCAAAATTCCCACCCCCTGGGGCGTCCACCCTTCATGCGGTCAAGGTTCTCTTCTTCCACCTATGCCCAGCAGGGCCCTCCACTCTTACATATTCAACTGAAGCGCTGGACCCCTCCCTAAATGCTCCCAGGTTGGTGGTTTAGACCCTGGGAGCTGTGGTTGGTTGGTATTGTTGCTCTCCTCATGGTGCCGCAAATCCTTTCAGCTCTCCTTCAGTCTTCACTCTAACTCCTCTATTGAGAACCCCATGATCAGTTAGTTCAATGGCTAGTTGTGAGCATCTGCCTCTGAGTATGTCAGACTCTTGAAGACCTCTGAGGAGACATCCATATCAGGCTCTTATCAGCATGCACTTCCTGACTTCCACATCAGCCTCTACCTTTGGTGACTGCACATGGGATAGATACTCAGGTGGAGTGGTCTTGAAACGGCCCCTCCTTCAGTTTCTGCCCCTCACTTTGTCTCCATATTTGCTCCCTTGAGTAATTTGTTGCTCCTTCTAAGAAGGACCGAATCACCCCCACTTGGTCTTCCTTTTTTATGGGCTTCATGTGGCCTGTGAGTTGCATCTTGGGCATTTCAAGGTTCTGGGCTAATATCCAATAATCAGTGAGTGAATACCATGTGTGTTCTTTTGTGATTGGCTTACCTCACTCAGGATGATAATTTCTAGTTCCATCCATTTACCTAGGAACCTCTCGAATTCATTGTTTTTAATAGCTGAGTAATACTCCATTGTGTAAATATACCACATTTTTTGATTCCATTCCTCAGTTGAAGGACATCTGGGTTCTTTCCAGCTCCTGGCTATTATAAACAAGGCTGCTATGAACATAGTTGAGCATATGTCTAAAGCTGCTGCAATCTCTAGGATTGACTATTACATTTCTGTTTGGGAATCTTTTTTTTGTTTTGTTTTTTTCTGGTCTGTGTAACTTGCCATGCTATGTTGAAGTACTTTATTTACCAAACTTAAGAGATAATTACATACTTAAAATGTGAAGTTACACCTTTCGTTATCTTTTTAGAAACTTTAGTTTTTGCTACAATTTAGATTCATGGGAACCAGTTTATGGTGTTGTTTGTTGATTTCTGTATAGCCCTGGCTGTCCTGGAACTTGTTTGTAGATTAGGCTGACCTCAAGTTTAGAGATCCACCTGCTTACCCGTGCTTGGATTTAAAGATGTAGACCACTACTGCCTGGCTTTGTTCATTTTTTAATTTTTATTTTTAATGTCTTTTCTAGCACCTTTATAGGTACTAATGACATTTATAGTACAGTCTGGATTTAGTGGCTTACAACTAAATCCCAGAATTTGAGGCCAACTTGGGCTATAGGAGACCTTAGAAAATATGTATCTATATTCAAAGTAGATATTAGCCATAAAGTACAGAATAACCACAGACCCAAAGAAGCCAAGTAACAAGGAGGCCCCAAGGGAGGATGCTTGAATCTCACTCAGAAGGGAAAATAGACATCAGAAGTGGATGGAGAAAGGGGATAGGGAAGGGGAACAGGAGTGGTGATCTGTTGTGGGGGGTGGGCTTGGGAGAGAGAACAGAAATGAGGGGGACTCCCAGGAGCCTATGGAGGTGACCCTGAGACTCCTAACAGCTGGGGGATATGGAGACTTAAGTGGCCACCTCCTTTAGGAGTGGGACTAGGTGGGACTTCCAGTGGAGGGAGGTGGGCATTAACCTACCCAAAAAACCTTCAAACCAAAATTTGTCCTGCCCACAAGACGTACAAGATGAGTGGAGATTGAGGGAAGGGCTAATCAATGCAGTCAACTTGAGACACATCCCATGGGAGAGAGCCAGCCTCTGGCACTGTTAATACTCTGCTTTGCTTACAGACAGGACCCTAAATAACTCTTCTGAGGGGCTTCATCCAGCAGTTGTTGTAAAACAGAGGCAAGAGACCCACAAATCAAACTAGGTGTAACTCAGGAAGCTTTGTGAAAGCTGGGGGAAGGGTTGAAGGAGCTGGAGGGGTCAAGAACACCATAAGACCCACAGAGTTAATCAACCTTGGGTCTCATGGGTGTAAAAGTAACTTTTATTCTCCTGGTGTAATTGTTATCTCTCAGGCTTATTGCATGTCTGCCAACTCAGGCCTAGTGCTATAAACTTTCTAGCCTCCATACAATCTAATCTAGGCCTAGAATGTTTTCAGCCTGTGAGACTTGCTGAATAACCTCATGCTTTCCTAGTTGCTTTTGATTTCTGGCTGGCTGATTCAACTCTGCTAGCTGTTCTGGCTCAAACTCCTGGCCAAACTGATTCAATTTGGCTTTCTTTCAGTTTCTCACGAATTGTTCTGTGGGGCCTCAAACTCATCTGTTCAAATCTGGCTTCGTCTCATTCCCTGGCTCATTCTGTTTTCACCTGTGTCTAGCTTGTTCTTTCTACAACCCATCTCTATAACTATCCCAGTAAAACTGCCTTTCTCTGCACTGCCCTTAAAAGTAGTTTCCCTTTCTTTTGGTGAGAGTTGAACATAGCCTGTTCTGTCATTTCTCTGATTCATCACTTTGTCAATTAGACATAACTTTTAAATGTGGGTGCTCCCTTGGGCTGGAGAGATGGCTCATCAGTTAAGAGCAATAACTGCTATTCTAGAGGTCATAAGTTCAGTTGCCAGCAACTGGTGGCTCACAACCATCTGTAATGGTATCCAATACTCTCTTCTGGTGTCTGAAGACAGCTACAGTGTACTCATACATAAAATAGATAATTCTTTAAAAAAAAAAAAAAAAAAAAACAGGTGCTTCCTACAAATTAATTTTACCTTCATTGAGATTAAATCTGTACTAAAGGGCTGAGCCACACCCTAACACAATCTCAGGATTCAGTGTGATCAAATATCCGGCAACACAAGGGGGCTCACAGACTGAACCACCAACCAAAAAACATGCATGAGACAGATCCAGGCTTCCCGTACATAGCAGATGTGCAGTTTGGTCTTCATGTGATTCCTATAACAATTGGAGCTGGAGCAGGGGCTGTCTCTGGACTTATTACCTGCCTTTGGATCCCTTTCCCCTAGATGAGCTGCTTTGTGTGGCCTCAGTGGAAGAAAATGTGCTTAGTCCTACAGCAACATAAAGTGCCAGGGGGAGTTAATACCCATGTGGGGCACATCTCTTCTCTGAGAAAAGGGGGGGGGGGCACTGGAGAGATGGCTCAGCCATTAAGAGTACTGACTGCTCTTCCAGAGATCCTGAGTTCGATTCCCAGTAGCCACATGGCTTACAGCCATCTATACTGAAATCTTCTAGCATGCAAGTATACATACTGATCATAAAACTTTAAAGAAAAATAGTAAGTCCTAGTATCTTCATATATGGGAAATTTTAAAAATTAAGGCTGGAGACGGCTCAGCAGTTAAGAGCACTAGCTGCTCTTTCAGAGAACTTGGGTTCAAGTCCCAGCACCCACATGGCAGCTCACAACTATCTTTAACTCTTGTTACAGGGAATCTGATTCCCTCACAGACATACATGTAATTAAATCACCAATGTACATTAAAAAATTTTTAAATATTGGTTCTGCTTATTATAAAAGGATCTTCAAAATTAAATTTTGCTTAACAAAACATTCTCATCTTGACACCATGACTCGTGACTTACCACAGTATATACCCAACTGGGGCACAGCTTCCTGGGTGCTAGTGTCACCTATCTAGCTTATGGTTGTACTTCTAAGTGATCAAGTCATCTAATGTTTTGTTACCGCATCCCTACAATTAGGAAGCAGGGTATCCTATAAAATTACAGTAAGCCAGATGATCTCTGGGTCACACGTGAAAACTTACCACATGCCACAGTATGCCTTTTAGGGAATGTCCTAAAAGAATGCTTTTAAGTTAAAAATGTTTTACGTTTTCTCTCAATTTAAATTGCAAACCACTGGAACTCAATTGTATAGACCAGGACTGCTATTGCCTCCCCAAAACAGCAGACAATATTGGTTTATATGGGAGTTGGCTGTAGAATTTGGGGCCTGCCTACTGAATCACAATATATAAGCAACGCTCTGGGTTTACTCTTTGAACTTGTTTTCTAGGGAAACAGCTTACATGAGACTACATGAGTTCCAGGCCAGCCAGACACTACCTTGGAAAGATCCTGTTTTACACAAAAAGGGAAAGCTGGACATGTTGGCACCCAGTCAGCACGGATACAGAAAAACACAAATGCACACGGTCACATGTCATATAAAGATGAAGTCTGGGCAAAAGCAATGGTGGCAGTTAGCCTGAGAACATGTAGAAGCAGCAACTGCTGGGCAAACAGATCAAGTTTAAAGTCACACACTAAATACTACAGACTTACAGGTTTAGGAGTTGTGATATTCACAGCCAGAATTAGAATGTATTTGAACATTGACAAGTGTTATGCTGCACTTCTTAATACTGGTTTCAGTGGATCAGTTAAATCATGGCATGTGATGTAGAGCAGAATAACTGAGAGCTACCAATGGCAGTGATCCAACGTACCTGGAATATTTTACCAACAAAGGTTTTGAGTACAGGTGATTTGTATTGTAAAACCTATGCACTAAAACAAGAGGTGGCTTTGTTCTGTGTCCTTTTTCTTTTGGTAATACCTGTGAATAGCACCCTAACACCCAAGTATTAACTCTTCTGCCAGAAAAAAATTCTTAAATTATTAGAATTCCAAAGCTGGGTGGTGGTGGCACACGCCTTTAATCCCAGCACTTGGGAGGCAGAGGCAGGCTGATTTGAGCTCAAGGCCAGCCTGGTCTACAGAGTGAGTCCCCGGGACAGCCAGGACTACACAGAGA